AACAAACCCAGAAAGCAGCACACATGCCAAGATAAGTGCACGGTTGGGAGTGCATTCCACCGTTCATAAGCCGTGAGCCGGCAACTGGTATCCTTTGCAGGCTTGGAAGCTACTCAAGGATTCACTGAGAAGTAGGCAGGCGCCCGCAAGACAGATGCCCTTGACGCTCTGCCTTGGCACTTTCAGGCGCAATGTAGGCATCAAAGCAAAGGTTCGCCAGCAACGCCAAAACAGGTGTGAAGCATTCGGCAACACTTGTCTGTCATTGTTCAACTTTCGATGAGTGTGCCAGCAACCCACCATCATTGGGCAATTGCAAAACGGCTCCCCTTTTAACACGATTTTACACTGCTGAACTTCAAAAAATAACACATTTCAGAACGAGATCTACAAACCACACAAACACCAACACTAGCTTCTCGTGTTTCCTTCGCCTGGTTTCTTTGGCTTCCAAGTGCCTTGATGTGGACTGGTTGGCTAAGACTTGAAAGACACAACCAGCGGGTCCAACTCAAGTCCTGCCATAGGGCAAGGGGAAGTAGCCAAATGTCAGAATCAACGATGCAAGGCAAGGGTTCCTTCCGCTTTCAATGATAGTTTTAGTTGGAATCCCCAAATGGTTCCCCAATCGACCCATCAGGCCTTACGGCTTGCCCGCTGTTACAGTACCCTGTCCGCCAACATGGAACCCACCAAAGTGTACCCTTTGAAAACAAATCGTCCAGGACCCGGCAGTCAGGTTCAATGTTCGGGCGATATCCGGAGCTTGGGATTTGGCAACCGTTTTCTTTTGGAACTCATAGGAATTGACAGTCTCCAAACCTCCCAGGTCCCGAGGTCCCGGCAGGCCCTTGGTGGCACCGAGCCCACCTCAGGCTGGGGACTGTGCCTAGATCGAGATCCCAACCATGGCCTGCAAGCAACAAACGTGGGCATACACACATACTAGGAATATATATAATACAACATATATACATATATATATATATATATATATTTTGAGATTACCAGTATCATCATTACTATTATTAGAGGGCGGGTCGTCCTGGGGGCTGCTCTTGTTTCCTCCGATTGGACTCGCCCCTTAATTCTTCTTAGTGTTAGTTGGACTACAAGTTGAACTTGATGCGTACCCTAAGTAGAATTCATAAGAAATTATTTTGAGGTCCCAAAACTCTTAAATACACGTTGTTTGAATGTCTACTGATTTGCAAAGCCGATCCTATTGGAAACCATGGTCAGAAAACACCGTAAAACACTGTGTTTTGTAGCGGTGTTCGTCCTCAAATAACATCTCCACCAACAGCCGCTCTTTAAAATTCAGTTGCATTTGAGAAGGATTTGATTGGGACTCAATAAGGAACAACTTGATCAGAATCCTAATGCGAATTGCATCTTACATTTAGACTCTAGATGGAGATCCTTTCCCATGGAATTTTATAATTAAATCAGAGTTTAAACATAACTTGATAAATAATGAATCGAATCACTGATAAGGAATGAATCCAATCACAACTTCTTTGTTTGAATATAAATTGAGTTAATAAGTCTATGTAGGCACGATAATTCTAACCAACCCCAGGTCTCGAACGAGCAGATGAAGGTGGTGGTCTTGTGAGCTTTCTTAAAGAAAAAACAAACGCATTACTTGGTTTTTAGCCCCCCCCCCAAAAAAAAAAAACACAAAAACACGGGTCTCGAACAAGCAGATGAAAATGATGTGCTTGGTTTTGTTGTTCTTTTTGTTGTATTGTTTTCTTTGGTTTTTAGCCTCCCCAACAAAAAACACCCCAGGCTTTGAACGAGCAGATGAAGATGATGGGCTTGGTTCTTTGTTTCTGTTTGTTTTCTTTTTGTTCGGGGGCGGGGGGTGTTTTTGTAGGTTTTTTGGTCGGTGTTTCACGAAAAACGCAGCCAAACCACTGCCACCAGCAGTGTCATGATGGGATTTACAGCCAGTCTTACCCACTATATAAAGGGTACATCCTCGTTTCCTTTTGGAGGAAGAATCCTAGCCACATGCAAAGCATTCGTCGTGCTTCATGGGATGGTGTTCGGCTAGTTGCGTGGGAAGGTGAAGAGCATTATTGACTCCTTGGACAAGCAAATGAAGCAGCGAGACGAGGATGCGAAGAAGGAAAAGGATAAGGGTGAGAAGCAGCAGGTATACTCCCTAGCTGCACTCACTGAAGTCTAGATGTTCATGACTTGGTGCAAGTCTGGACAGCTTCATATGTCATTGCACTCAGCCAAGGCCAAGATCTTCAAGCAGAAGCACGAGCCAGGCAGATCTGACCTGTGGGTTTGCCGCTGGAAACAATCTTGGACGGAAGTGAATGGCGCACATCGAACAAACAGCTCGCTGCGTACTTCAGAATTATTGGTTGATGTTCAACCCGATGTCATGAAAGGACCTTGAAGGATGGAGACTACAGCTGAAATCGTGGCACTACACAGCGCTCTTGTTTGTTTTTGTTTATCACGGTTTGATCTAAGAGGGATTGGGAATGTACACATCACCATGAGTCTATCTGACTCAAAGGCGGCCACTTTCTGGAAAGTCCTGAAGACGGGAGCTCAATCTTCCCCTTGGCCCCGGGCCGCTGGCGACACGGTTGCCATGACCATGGCCATTGCAACGGAGTTACGGCCTCGCGGCCCTGTCTGAGGCAGCCGGGTCAGCGAGGCGTGCGCGTTTCGAGCAAGGAGGCCAAGAGAAGTTTCTTGATTGGTCGTTTGTGGGGACACGGTCTTGGGGGACCCTACACCCTTTCTAGCAAGCGAGATCCAGCTTGCAAATGATAAATGATGAGTGGAGCGTGCAAGACTCCATGTGTTGGAACCCATTGAACATACACCACTTCATGCCACAGCTGTGACCACCAAGGATTGGAAGTCGTGGCGCCTCTTGGACGCAGCTCCTCCGTCGAGGGCTTGTGAAGGTCTTTTTTACTCTCTTAATTCGCGTATCAACCCCTTCCGCCAAACCTGCCACGAGCTTCCGCGGGAAAAACACTTCCGCAACCTTTCACGGCCGCAATGCGGTGCTACCTTGTCAACATCCATATTTGCTTGAGCGGAAAAACAACACAACGCTTAGTCGGTACAATCCAAATGTGGGTTGGGCCAACTCCAAGCTTTGGCCTGCAAGTGGCAAGGCACTCAGTACCGAGCAAAGCGGCAAAGAACCACCACGGATGCGGGGCGCTCATTTTTCCGAGCGGCGCTCGAATCCGCCAGCTCCTGGCCGGCGATGCAATTACCTCGAATCGCGAGCCACCTGGCAGCGACAGTCTTTCGTGGCTCCTTGCTGTGACTGTTGCCTTGGATATGCTTGCCCTACCTTGGACCTTTGGCATCGCAGCAAATAGGAGAATGGAGCAACTTCAAGACAGTGGGAGCCCTTCAACCAAACCTCCAGCTTCAAGGCCCAAATCCTCCGGACAACTCGATCCACTCGGCGCCGGCGCACGGCCTCGCCTCGATGCCCGTTTTGAACTTGGAGGGCTTCTGGAAAGCTCCCTGACACCACGAGTCTTGGACCAACCTCTTTTGAGGTGCCTGCAATGAATTGCATGAATTAGAGGATCTTATGATCCTATCACGAACTGCCAGCGCTTGACAGCCTGGCCTGGGAATCTCTCATCCACTCTGCGTCAACAAGAAGCTGCAAGGACAACGCCTGAGTGCCCCAAATCGCCAAAGCCCTTGGCCTTCGCGAGAAGTCGCCTCTCTGAAGCTGGTAGAACAGCGGCAGTCATGGATACAAGTTGCTGATTGAGCACACACACACACACACGCACATCACGCAAATGAACACAAATGGCAATACACGGCTTGACTCAATTGCTACACCCTGACTCAGTCAACCCTGGGCCGCCCCCACTCTGCGGCCTTAGCAGAGCTCGCCCAGGAGATTCTGGGCTCTGCCTCAGATTGGGCCCTTCAGCTCCACCAAACCGTTAGGTCAAACTCCCATAGATAAACCACAACACGCTGTGGATGCGCAATGTTTGCCGTGAGCAAGCTTGTGTGTGGGTGTGGGGGCTTCCCAAGAGGCATATTCCAGCCGGCTTTTGCAGTTCTCAGCGCATCTTCGCTAAACCCCAAGAGTGAACAAGCCCTCCCCGGGTCTGTACAGCGAGCTCAAGTTCCGCCACACCAACGGCAGCACCTGGGGCAGCAGGCCGCGGGCTTGACAAATAAACATGCCACATGCACCTGATCCACGTCCTCAAAGAACCACTCTCGGACAAAGCGGAGGGGGATGTCCTGTGCAGTGCCAGGTGCCAGCTGCCAGGTGCCACATGCGTGTCTCTTTGAGTGAAACGCTGCGTACATGATACATGTTGTACTTAAGCTTCTCATTGTCTTGGGCTTTGGGAACATTTGCAAACACGTCCATGACTGGTGTCGCACCTGCAGGCCCCACACCGAAGCTCGACGATAGCAGTCCAGCTCATTGATGGGCAGCTCCTGGCATTCTGGGCAGCTCGCGGCTTCTGGGGCAAGCTAAGGCTGGCAACGAACGTGGCAACATGTTTGAAAGTTTGCTCTTTCACAGGTTCAATATGTGCCACTCGCCCAGTGTTTACTGTGAGCTCTGCGCCCTTTCCTACAGTCCTCCAGCCAGTGGTTTTCACTTTCCATCTTTCAAGGCAGCTGCCTCCATGTCCACATTTGTTCAGATCACTCAGCCCTTTGCAGTGCCTGTCAACCCACTCCTGGTACCACTCGTCGCGATGGACAAACAAAGCATACGGGCCCGTCAGGCGTATCAGGAAGAGACCCCACGGCGCTAGGACCTGCGAAAGCCAATCACGCACTGCCAGCTTTGTCTCTCTGGCCACACCCTAGTGCCTTATCGGCTCAGATTTGCTGCAAGACTAGTGTTGCTTACAACACGGCTTCGCTGGCTTCGCTGGTCGTACCTCCCCGGACCCGTGCGCCTCCATTGCTGCGGACAAGGAGCAGGACATGATGGCGGCCGGGGTCTCCAT